TGATGTATAAAATTAAAATGACAATAAAAAATAATCTGTTAAATTTGCGCATTTCGGTGGAATGAATAATAATGCGTTGTTTACTCGCTTCTTTGAATTGGTAATAATAATAATGTTTTCATTTATGATTTTTATCTTTTATATAAAAATAATTTAATTTTCAGTTATCACTTTGGTGGGAAAACAGAATTTCTCTAAAAAAGCTAGAATTTTTTTAAAAAATGTTTAAATGGCATCGGCTGCGAAACTTGAAAAGAAAATGTTTTCTTATTTTCAAAATAAGATGGAAACATTTTCCAAGAAAATCAAAAGATTTAACAAAAAAAACCAAAAAAAAAAAAAAAACTCCCAGAAGTTGATTTCAAAATCACTAAAATCATCAGGGAATTTTTTAATCGAAAATAGTCAGAATTTTTAATGACACAGCTAAAAATTTACTTAAGATTAATGGTAAAGTCAGGAAGCAAAGAATATGGAAGAAAAACTTTTTTTTAGTTTTCTAAAAAGTAAAAACCAATAAAAAAATGACAGGAATTTAAACAAGAAGTTTTTTGAAATTAAAAAAAAAAAACGAATTTAATAAAAGCTGGCTTACCTTCTTATAGAACAGAGACTTTTCTCTGTGACGAAAAATGATATCGTAGAAGCAATGCTTCCATGAAAACCTGTCAGAAACGGAGCGGTAGTGAATTGGCGGCCATCACAAGGCAAATGCGATGTGAAGTGTTTGGGAGGCGCCAAAAAGTAAGCGGTGAGATAACGGGAGGAAAGAAACATTTTATGGATGGCCGTAATGAACATAATAGCAAACTGACATATATGTCTTTCCTTACAATCATTCAGATGAAAAGAGTACAATTTTACAAATTCGCACACATAAAGACAATGTATGTGTTCACGTGCATTTACTATTAGTTTCAATTTATTCCAAACAACTTCACTCACTCACTCTATCTATCTATCTATCTATCTATCTATCTATCTATCTATCTATCTATCAATGCATCATATATATATATATATATATATATATATATATATATATATATATATATATATATATATATAATATTTTTATTATAAGAGATTTAATAAAACATTTGTTTCAAAATACAAATCTTATATTTATTATAATCTCTTATAATAAAAAATACAAACAATCTCTTAAAAAATACTGAATGTTTTTTTATTATAATTTCTTTTAACTATACTATAATAATAATTGCTCTTAAAAGTAAATGCTTTCTCTCAATTGTATGTACCGTTAGGAAAATCATCGATGAAGTCAAAGTAGAAAAATTTCCTTTTATGACTTCATCGGACTAAAAAGTGATTTTTACGTTGACGACTCATGCGCAGAAAAGAGAAGGGACACTGAAATTTTAAACTCTAGTTTTTTTCAAATTTGTGTTTACCATTTGGCTACATTTACTTTGTTCTTTCTTTGTTTTTTTTTCTTTGTTTATCTTTTTATCACTTATTGTGATAATAGAAGATCCGCCAAAATAGAAACCAAACGCAAACTCACTCTGGATGATCCAGCGATCGAAGCACCTTCCGTAAACCCTCGTCTCATCAAATTGCTCTCTCTCTCTCTCTTTTAATTGAAGTAGGATTTTTTAAAATCAGAATAATTATCAAATTCATTACAGTGAAACGTGAATTTGCTTTGGAGTGAACGTTGGCAACTTAATCTCATAGTTCGATTATCCTGGGACGCATCACTATTTGGGCCCTGTGCCAGACTAATTTAAAAACTATTTTTACACATTGCATCAAATAATAATAATAATAATAATAATAATAATGATGATGATGTTATGATCATAATGATGATAACAATGTAGTAAATTAATCTAGAAAGAATATAAAATAAACGAAAATGGACGTAATTGTGTAGGGGAAAATGTGTCTCTGAAGTTTTTATGGGATTAACCTTCTTGTTTGCCAAAAGAAAAACAAGCTCTGCCAATGGCCAGTTGCCAAAAGGAGTATAACATAAAAGGGACGCAAAACTTTTATTCTCTTTTACCCCTGGATGCCTTAGTGATAGGACGTGTCTCGTTTCCTGTCAGAGGGCTTTGTGGCAACCAGCGACAAAAGCTCTAAGCTTACTTGATCACGTACAGGCATGTCTGTCTAATAATTCTACAAAACCAACAAAAACTCAAAATGTAAGTTTCTCACAATCTTTCATGTGACTTTTATATATACGTATCTCTACACATTTTGACCAATGGAACTCTTCTGGAACTGAGATTCAAATGGCTCACCCTATTCAGACAAAGAACACAACAAATAATGTTATAGTCTGTCTATATTTCTGAGATGAGGTATTATGTACATTATTTACATTATTCGGACTATTGTCCTCATCTTTGTCGCCATATTTATCACAACGTTTCGGCCTTCTTCAGGTGGTTGGAATGTCGAACTGAACCCTTTATTTCGCTCACTGGGGTAGACTGTTCTAGTTCCACGTGTCATGTTTGATGGATGTCAGTTATCAGTTATCTCCTGTTAATTTCCCTCTGAAAGTTCTCCACTGCCTTAACCGGGTATTGAACTCACACTCTTTTGGGTTCTGTCACTGGATCTAACCAACGCCGTTATCCACTGTGCCATGTGTCCTTGAGGACATCTGGGTATGAATATGTTATATGTTATATGTCATATTTTATTTTGCAAGTTAATGTTTCTATAATAAAGTTGTTATCAACCAACTAATATGTAGATGCGCGCCAGGTGTGTAGCGGCAATTGATACGGAAACTGGGATTGACGTGTTCAATTCTCGTCGTGGCCGTTGCGTACATTCTCACACAAATACCCTTGGAATGGCATGAAGCCATTCCCCAACACCCAGGTAGGAGTTAATAGTAACGCATCCTGGGATTTCTACCCTTGGTTGGCAACCAGTCAGTCTAGAGGGAAGAACAGTTCTGAATTCAAACCATTTGAGCCTGGCAACTCAACTCCATTAAAAGCAGCTTGTAACAGAAACCATACCAACAATGTCTAGTGTGGCAAAGCTGTGGCTCTATACTCCACAGGATAGTCTATACATACATATATATATACATACATACAGGAGTCGACCGTAGTCGGGATCATCGAGTCGATGTGAACGATCCTTTCCTAAGCTGCATAGTATGTGATTTGCCAAGGCTACATACAGTTTTGAATTCAGAGTTTTCCTTCTTCTAGACCGGTTGCCACCCAAGGCTATAGAACCCAATCTGTTAAGGAGACAACTGTAGTCGGGATCATCGAGTCAATGTGAACGATCCTTTCCTAAGCTGCATAGTATGTGATTTGCCAAGGCTACATACAGTTTTGAATTCAGAGTTTTCCTTCTTCTAGACCGGTTGCCACCCAAGGCTATAGAACCCAATCTGTTAAGGAGACAACTGTAGTCGGGATCATCGAGTCAATGTGAACGATCCTTTCCTAAGCTGCATAGTATGTGATTTGCCAAGGCTACATACAGTTTTGAATTCAGAGTTTTCCTTCTTCTAGACCGGTTGCCACCCAAGGCTATAGAACCCAATCTGTTAAGGAGACAACCGTAGTCGGGATCATCGAGTCAATGTGAACGATCCTTTCCTAAGCTGCATAGTATGTGATTCGCCAGGGCTACATACAGTTTTGAATTCAGAGTTTTCCTTCTTCTAGACCGGTTGCCACCCAAGGCTATAGAACCCAATCTGTTAAGGAGACAACTGTAGTCGGGATCATCGAGTCAATGTGAACGATCCTTTCCTAAGCTGCATAGTATGTGATTTGCCAAGGCTACATACAGTTTTGAATTCAGAGTTTTCCTTCTTCTAGACCGGTCGCCACCCAAGGCTATAGAACCCAATCTGTTAAGGAGACAACTGAAGTCGGGATCATCGAGTCAATGTGAATGATCCTTTCCTAAGCTGCATAGTATGTGATTTGCCAAGGCTACATACAGTTTTGAATTCAGAGTTTTCCTTCTTCTAGACCGGTTGCCACCCAAGGCTATAGAACCCAATCTGTTAAGGAGACAACTGTAGTCGGGATCATCGAGTCAATGTGAACGATCCTTTCCTAAGCTGCATAGTATGTGATTCGCCAGGGCTACATACAGTTTTGAGTTTTCTTTCTCCCAGACCGGTTGCCATCTCAAGGCTATGGAACCCAGTCGGTGCTGCTATTTAGAGATGGATTCATGCCTTTCTCAAGTAAGTATATAGTCGGGATCATCAAACCAATGTGAATGATCCTTTCCTTTGTTGCATAATATGGGCTTGGCCAGGGCAACAAGTTTTCTTACTCCTAGAACCATAGAACTCAGTATGTCTTGCTCTTTACCATAGCGGGGGGGGGATAGATTGATTTATACCTTTCGTAAGTGAATGTAATGAACTCAATTGGAATTCGAACACGGTTTTCCAATTCTTCAATCCGAGCCGCAACACATTATTCTACCCTGTTTCCACACAAAATCTTCTAGGATATATATATGTAAGTTTTAGTTTCAATTTATAATAGCACTCCTAATTATAACGTTTCCGTTTGTAATAGCGCTCCTAATCATAAATACCGATAAAAACTTTTGGGTGGGTCAGCTTAAATGCAATATAGATATCTATTTATAAAAAAATCCGAAAGATATAAGAGAGAGAAACGTAGATTTGATTAATACGATATCTCATCTATATAAAGAAATGATTTTATTTTAAATGTTAATATAATCTCGTTGACATTCTATAACCTTCATCAATCTTTCAATCATTGATTTGATTAGCTTTTCTCTTGTCCTGGCTTTAACTTTACTTGCAAAGATTTTTATTACTTCCCGGATATCTTCTTTGTTTCAATATCATTTTCCATTCTCATATGCATATCCGGAGAGACGGGGGAGATTTGGTTAATATGGTATTTTCTAAACTTTCTTTATTGCAAAGTAGGGGAACAGCTTGCTTTGCAGAAAAATTATTGTCTTGCATGAATATGCTCTTTAGCTTAACGCACTACGGCCATATCACGTTGAAACACTACTTCTCGTACGATCACTGCAGTTAAGCAACGTTGAGCTTTGACAATACTTAGATGAGTGACCGCTTGGGAATACCAGATGCTCTAAGCTTGAATGTGTGTGCGGTTTAATAGATAACGGCTCGGAATTCCAATTCCAGTGGGGTTCGTTATATTCATTTACGTGCAAATACCATTGGGAAATGTATGATTCCACTTATTCTCCCCTCACCTATGGATTAATTAGTAGAACTTATATCAGTAAAAATCATTATTCTCGCCCCAAAATTCTTACAATCTAAGAATATATTCTGTCTTTAATTAAACTACAAAAGGTTGATAAGCCGTAAAAATAAATAAATCGATATTTAGCTTAAGGTATCTTGGGTGTGACCAGTATCGAAGAAAAGCACTTTATTCAAGAACTTACAATAATTCTCTACATTTGTCTTGATGTTGTCATCAGTTATAATTTTTTCTACCGACAATACAAGCCCAAAATATTACCCTACTTATCAACTGATGTCTTTTCAGTCAGGTTGGTTGAATATTTCCATAAAGGACCCATCTTCTAGCTCAACAATTAGATCCATTCAATGTAGCTCTACATTCATTAACACTGTTATCGATACATCAGTTTTCATGTACTTCTTCACCCAACTTACAAGATTCTCCTTGTGATGCTTACTTAAGGGTGGTAGTTTGGTTGCTTTCATGTCTTTAGACATTATATTTCCTTCCTATTTACATTCGCAACACAGGTTCTTTCAAATATTTTTAGCTGATCAATCCATTTTTTGTTCTTGCCAATGTAGAAGATTTTTATGCATGTATTTAAATTTATCCATGTATTTACACTTACATATATACATGGTGAAATCAGTAAATTGTCGCCATGTTATATCTTTAATTTCGCGCATGCGCGTTGTTTTTTTGGGTTTTTTAAAATTTTGTCGACTGCACAGTATAGTAGGGTCATGTGGGCACCCTCTGTGAGAAAAAGAGTACCATGACGCAATTCACTCCGTCAAAAGTTTGGAAACAGCATGCTGTACTCCTTGGCATTTGTCCTGGAAGCTCTAATACAAACATTTCAGAGTGTTTGGGTGTCAATCTGAGGACAGTGCAGAGGATTGGGAAAGATTTGGATGAGTCTAATGGTGATTACGAAGATACGGCAGATCGGAAAACCCACTCTGATCGTACTGATAAGAAAAAACTTCCGAATTTGTTGGAGAGGGCCTCAGACCCAACACAGATGCCTACATCAAGTGCCTTGAGGAGGTAGTGCTACTCTGGGTCAAGGGGGTGGCTGGTGGAAGACCGTATGACTAGTAACAGGACTCTGCACCATGCCACACAAAAAGGAGAACTTAGTCATGACTGTCAGACAATTTCTGTGACCACATTACCCTTTACATCTAGCCACCTAACTCCCCAGACTGCAACCTCCTTGATTATAATGCGTGGGTGGCAGTTAAGCGGGAGATCAACAAAACTCCTTGTAACACGAAATATGAACTGGAGGCAAGGATTATGGTAGTATTCACCAACTTAAACAAGGAGGCCATCTAGAAGAGTCGCAAGAAATTCTGAAGTTGTCGGGAGGTTGAAGCAAATAGTGATGTTTTTTAAAGAAATTTACTCTTTAGTATTTCAAGATATTTTTGTGTGATTTTGGTAAATATATCTGTTAAAATGAGATGTCAGTGTTATTTTCATTTTTACATCATTTAGATGACAATTTATACATCACATCCTGTATTTCTTCCGCACCCTGTATATACGGTTTCCTTCTGCCCGGTGGGGCAAGTAGGTTCGAATCCTGCTGAAGAGCGCATATTTTTCTTTAATAAGATTTCTAGAATATTTAGGCCGGCATACGAAAATAAATGAATATACTGTTTAATAAATAAAAGAAGCGTCTACTCAAATAGATATATCCATTAGAAATAACGTTTAAAGTGATAGAAATCTTGTCAGATCAATTAATAAATTTAAAAAAAAAGTCCATTACAAAATTACTTTGTTTACGCTTGGATACAAAACTGTACAGATATGATAATTTCGAGGTCTATGCGAGAAGGATTTCGCTTAAACGCACTGTTCGTACCTTGCCTGATCAAAAAAAGTACTTGGTGACCGAGTCGGTTAAGACATGTCGGATATAACGGTGATTTCACTCTGCCCAGGAGGACCCAGATTCGAATCCTGCTGGAGAGCATTTATTCTTCTTTTAATAAGGTTTCTCGAATTTTACGAAAAAAAAAAATGTTTAATTAGCGTTGTTGCCTTTGTCTCGAATAAATGGCACTAATCCCAAAGCTCTTGAAGAATGCATGCTTTTCGTTGGAACACTTGTTTCTTCAGTTCCCACCACAATGGTTCAATCATTCACAGGAAACCTTTCTGTTGCACGTAATGTGTTGCAAGGAACACGGTCGCAGTGAAAATGTTTCGTAGTCTGGCAGAAAATTAGACCCTAGTAAACTAATATCGTTTTCGGTGTTTAGATTTCCATAAACGTTTACCAATTTTCTTATTGCATCGTTTCTGATACAACCCCACACCACTACCAAATTTTACCGTTTTGTTGTGTATCATGCATTTGATTGTTTCTTTTTCTAACTGATCTTACATATTGTCTTGCATTAGAATGCAACTGTATTTTGCATTCATCACGAAAAAAAAAGTGATCGTTGTCACTTTCTAGCATCCCATGTTAGATGTTCTGTTAAGCACTTCAATCTTCAATTCCGATGTAATTTTAGTTAATGATGACCATTTCTTTTTTTTTTTTTCTGCTATACACCCATTCTAGTTGTTTTCTTCGTAATACTCTGCTTACCGTTTCATTTGAAACTTCACTGTTAAGATTGCTTTCACTTCTCACTTGTCTGACTTTTGGATTGCCTACCGAGAGTCCACAATCTTTCATCTATCTTGTTTAACTTTAACCGGTTTTCTTTGCACTTAAAAACACTTCCAGTAGTAGCAAACATCTTTTGCATGGTTTGAATAACTATTTCTGGACACTCCCAGCCACCTAGCTGAGTCATCTTCCCCTTCAAAGTTACGACCTTCATCTTTTTAGCTATGACTTTAGTGCAAAAAAAGCAAGCTAGTGTTCAACTCCAATAATTTACCAAGTGTTGAGATGTTGAGTGTTTCCGCGTGCGTGTATTGAAATAAGGACAAACACATACGTAGGGAAAATACTGGTATATCTGAAGAGGTATTTACAACAGAGAGATTAGTAGTCAAACGAACGCAGGTTAGTCAGTAACAATCAGAAAGAGTATAGAGTCCAACTGTATCTTCCGGTAGAGAGACGGAAGTGTGATGGTCACCTGATCTTGCCAGAACTCTATAGAACTGTCGTATTAGTAGTAGAGAGATCAGTCCATTCTGATGAGAAGGTAGGTGCGCCCCAACACCAAGACACCTTACACTCATGTTAATAAAAATGGAACAATTCCTACGTAGAAATGTTCATATTCTCATGACTTTATCATCTCAGATCTTTCATTGGTCTAATAGTTTTGCATGGCCTTATTTCAGCTTCAAGCTGCTCCAAGCCATGTATTCTCTGTTACACATCATCCACGAAAACGCAACAACTTTTCCCCAAATCCTTAAAGTTCTCACACGCTACTGACAAAAGCAAACTGCTGAACAATCTTAAATTCCTAATAAAATAATCATTTTATGTAGTTGGCCTCAAACTTTTGTACACTACACTAGTGTATATAAAGAAGAGAAAGAAAACACATTTGCGTGTATAAAGGAAAAATGATCTACTTAGCTATAGAGTGTGTGCTTATGTGTGTGTGTGTTTGTATGTGTTATACTTACCACGTAGTTTGTCTGTAATTAAGTAGTCAGTTTGTTGGGGGAAGAAATTTCCTCTCACTCTAGCAAAGACAAGACCTGATGTTCTCGCTACTATCGGAGAAAAAAGAGAAAGAAAGGGTTTATGTATCTTCATTTATAGTCCTGAATAGAACACCATCAAGTGAGCGTCCTGGCAAACAAGATTGGATAATCCCCACAAGCTCAAAAACGTCTAGTCTATGAATTCACAGTAACTTCCTACATTACAACTCTCTGTTTCCTTATTAATTCATGCTGGTTGACCATTTCCATGATGAGCCCAAAGTCTACTCCAGTCATCTTTTCATCCAATTTAGCTCTACAAAAGTTTCAAATTGAAATTATTATCAAAGATTAAATAACATTTTTTCTTTTCTTAATTGTTATATATGTTGCCGATTTGAATCAACCCACAACAAATAAAAATGCGAGAAAGGAATTTAAATATAAAAATATAATTTTTTTTACAACTAATCTTTCTCAGCGTGTATGAGAATTAAAGTTCCTTGTTTGTAGTTGTTTGTTTAGATGAAAAGTAATGTGATTTCTTCGCGTGTATGTGTGAAAAAAAAGAGAAAGTGAGGAGGAAAAAGTAAATGTTACGTAGCTTGGCGAGGAATAGTGTAAGTGTCACGTAACTTGGTGAGGTAGACGGGTGAATGAATAAGGGAATCTCTCTGAAACCGCGCCGACGTGAACTGCCAGCGTGTGTTGCCGTCCCTTCTACTTACTGTCTTTGCCCGTCTAAGGACTTTACTTAAATACTCTTCAAAGGATCACGAAGCATGTTTTTATTGTCTCAGTTATCTCCCTTTTACTCAACTCTCCAAGTTTTTTTGTTCATCACTGCAGTAGCCAAGTACATGTGGCCGAGTGGATAAAAGCGTTGGTTGGATCCAGTGAATTGATCCAAAGAGTTGTGAGTTTAATACCTGGTAAAAAGAAAAGAAAAAATAGAAAACTTGGACAGTTGAGTTAAAGGGAGATAACTGAGACACCCGGAAGGGGCATGGCACGTGGAACTAGAAGTGTTTATTTTAAATATCGAATACGGAAAATAAAATGATAGAAATATCGAAAAGACTTAAATATTGCTTTTTATGCGTTTACTTAAGGCGGGAAAATGTAGGTGGCATAACGGTCAGCAACATGCAAAAGTGTAATCGGTGAACAAAGTTCTAATTTCGCACTAATGCCCTTAGGAAAGGCACAAATATCTCTCTTTTGACTCC